TCTCTCTCTCTCACACACACAAATGTAAACTCCATGAGGAAGAGATTTTTAATGTGTTTTATATACCACTCTATTGCCAGTACCTAGAAGAGTGCCCAGCACAAAATACATACTCAGTGAATTACCTGCTACTGAATGAATGAATGAATATGATGATGTCAAGCAAAGTGAACTGCTACTACCTGAAAAATGTAATGTCTACTTATATTGAATTTAGGTTTAAAAGAAAATTTCTAAGAACAATTCTTTAATCTTATACATGAGTATATAGAGAGATCCCATGAGAATGGCTTAGTATACATTCATAGTAGAATCCCTCTTAAATCATCTGAATGTCACAGAGAATTGGTCAATTAAAGGGAAGAATTATAAACACTGATACACAAACATTTTAATTTTGTTTAATACATATTAATGTGTTTCATTCACCAGTTTTCATGGGCTCTTCTTTGAGTATAATTTCGTTGACTGCCAATTTTCTCATAATCAACAGCCATAACGTATCATTAGTGTACTTCAATCACTTTTAAATGAAATCAATATATAAGGACAAAAGAGAAATAATCTGAATGCAAAATCCTTTCAGATTTTCATAAATTTTCCCAATTTTTTACAGCTGTATTTCCACACCAGATTTGAGAGCAGTTTTTAACAACTCACTTCTATCAACTCTTTCTAAAGCATTTTAACGGTTTTCATGAAATAACGCCTCAAATTGATATTTCACTGGCCTAGGAAACATCTAATTAAATTATATAATTACAATAACGGGTCAACAGCATTACACGAGGTCTTGTAAGGGGTCAAACTCAACTTACAACTCACCTGTGAGAGAAGTGTGCAGAAGTGTGTCAGAGAGTAGCCTACTAACCATGTTGACACATATGGGATTAAAACCAGGACGTTTTACAGACAGAATGGAAAGTATGAGGTAATCCATGTAAATTAACTAGAGACTGATCAGGAGAACCTCTACTGTAATGACATATGGATCCCTCACATAATATCTCACTGCCACTAGAGTCTACTTTTTGAATTTTTCTTCAATATAGTTGATGAATGCTAATTCCTGTCTTAAAAAGAATAAACCTTACAGGATACTGAGTTTGAATATAATCATTTATTCACTCACTCCTTCAACGACATATAGTATATTGAGTACCCAGTACACAAAAGGTACTATGTAAAAAAATTGTGATAGCTACAAATATAAGTGGAACAGAACTCTTCCCCTATTACCTTGCCAAGCAAGAGTCCTTTTAGCACCTCAGAAAACTGACCTAGGTTTTCCAGAAGAGGAAAAAGAGTTAACACACCTGGATAGGTAAAGAAAAAAAATATTCTCAAAATTCATTTTTTTCTCACCATACAGAAGTTGGTCCCAGCAGAAAAAAATTAAGTTCCTCCTGAAAACTAAAGAGGGAGACATGCCCAATTCTAGTCTATCTTCCATGTGAGAATACACCACTTTTGTTTTGTTTTAGGGTTAATTATATAAACTCATCCTTTCACATTAAATAGTTCACAATTTATGATAGTTGTCCTAATTTAAAGTATGTAAATTAGTGTGTTCTCCTTTAAGTTAATGTATTTTAAATGGTTTAGTCACAACATGTGCATTCATGCTCTTTCCCATGCATTAATAAGAGTAAAACAATTTCACCACAGTTCCTAAGTCTGGTAACTTTATACAATGTAAGTAAATAATGGATGCATTTAATACTTACCTCTTTTAAAAAATAAACATTATGCTAGTAAAATAGGTCAAATCCCATAAATGTCTCTTCAAAAACAAAACAAAAAAAAACCTGCTGTAAAAACAGGCAAAAGTCAACAATAAAATAATCATAAGAAACTCATCTAATGAACTATTTGTTATTTTCTTGCGTTAGGTTCCTAGCAATCATCATCATTATTGCTGTCACTATTATTAATAGCTAAGGAATTAATTGTGTGTTCCTCTCACATTCTGGTTAATTTTACTTCTCTTCAAATTAGGTCTTCAATACGTAGGTTCCCCTAAGTTCTGACCATCTCTTTAAAGATGGCGGGTTTTGTTTTTTTAATACCCATGGCTGAGAAGTTAGGTTTCTACTACAAAGGCTAATACGTGAAAAGTATGTTTACATGAAAAGTGAGTTGAAACCACAATTCAATTTTCTTTCTTTCATTCTTTGTTTTTTTTTCCCCCTAATCCTGGCATAGGAAATAACTATTATAGCAACAAGGAGTAGGGGGAAAGAACGGTTGTGCTAAAAAAGTTCAGAATAGGAAACCTGCAATAATACTCATAATCCATTCCAGAAATAAAAATATACAGAAAATATATATGCCAATATTGATTGTTTAAAGGAAGATATAAATTAGGGAGTTATTAATTGATCCCAAAATGACATGCCAGATAACTCTTTTAAATATTTCATTCTCCAAGAACTTGAAAATCAAAAATTTGATCTACAAAAAGATAATTTCCAAAAAAGTTTACAAAAATATTCCTATTGACTGAAACAAAGTCATGGACCTAGAAAATCCCTCTGAGATCATTTAGTAGAAACCTTTCATTTTACAGATGAAGAAATTAACTCTTAGAAAATAATCTCAAGGTCACCAGCTTTGAAGGCACATCAGGATTTATACTCAATTCTAACCAATCAAAAGCTCATGTCTTCTCTATACTATGATATGGGAAAAAGGAAAATGCATTTTTTTCATATAAGAATATGAGGAGGCAGAATGACAAGAAGGTAGAAAATCTTTCAGCTATTAAAAAGCATAATGATGGCTGGAAATCTCCACAAATGCAATGTTCTCTCCACAATGTAACTCAGAGTAAGGTCTCCAAAATCTTCTGATGACAGAGTAAAATTTAACCTCTAGTAACAGTTCAATTAAAATTTTGTTTTTATAAAGTTTTATAAACAATATGAATAGTTAAAAGTCATCTATATTATTTTTATTAGATTTTTGTGAATCTAATTTAATAATAAACACTTGGAAAGAAGAATTGCTAATGTATTTTATTTTCCATTTTCCTCCTATGGCCACTCCCTTACCTAACAGTCAGATTTCTAGCAACTTCAATCACTTGAGTAATAAATAGGCAAATGAGCAAAATAAGCTGCTGGGCTTAAATATATTTTTCATAAAAAGGATATAAATGTACACTTCGACTTGAGAAACACATACCCCAACATGGAAAGTATAATCCAAAATATACCTCTTTATCTCATGATCCATTTAAATCTCACTGTTTTAATTTTAGTATTTCTCTATAGACCTTTAAAATATTTTTATAAAATATATAACACAGAACTTAAAAATATTTTTCCTAAAATCCTATAGATTTGAATGCCTTTTGCATCCAAACCTGATCTATATCATATAGCTTTTTTTTTTTTACTTGTACCTTTCAATAACAGCTTATAACCTATTGCTCAGAAATTTAGAACTGCTGTGCCTCTATCCTAAGATTAATTAAAGGAGTAATAAGAACACCTTTCTAAACAAATATAAAGTTAGTGTTTACATACTTCTACCATTAATTACAACCCCAAATTAACTGGCTAATTCTTTAGTACATCAAATTAACAAAGATGTATAACAGAGCCGCAGGTATTGAAAACCGTAAAAAAATCCATTGGGGAGAAGCTCTTAACTTAATGAAAGCTAGATTTTTAAGGCTGTAACCAATTTCAAGAAGTGTAAGTTTGTTTGTTTTTAAAACCTCAATGCTATTCCAAGTATAGTGTTCAAACCTATCACTATAGAAAATCCAGAACTGTTAACATGTGTGAACCATAACACAATGACATTGGCTTGATATCCAGCCATCAGAACTCCTTCCACTGTGTTTGGACCTGATCTCCTTCCCAAGCTTCCCAGATCTTCATGTGTAAAAATGGCCCAGCTATTGCTGGAAAAAGTATAAGATTCCTTTCACCACTGAGATATAAAACAAAGTCAGGCACAGAAAGGAAGAATATGCTGTTATAAAGCATGTTATAAAACTGTTACAGGGCTTCCCTGGTGGCGCAGTGGTTGAGAGTCCACCTGCCGATGCAGGGGACACGGGTTCATGCCCAGTCTGGGAAGATCCCACATGCCGCAGAGTGGCTAGGCCCGTGAGCCATGGATGCTGAGCCTGCGCGTCCGGAGCCTGTTGCTCCGCAACGGGAGAGGCCACAACAGTGAGAGGCCCGCGTACCACGAAAAAAAAAAAAAAAAAAAAAAAACTGTTACAAATATATTTTAGAACTTTAATAACAATCATGGTAATGATGTCAATGACAATGATAAAAGCTAATATTCATTGAAATTATTTAATCCTCACAAACCTGTAAATTGATTGCTGAGAAGTTAAGAAACTTACCACAATCACAGAGCCTATAAATGGAAGAGCTAGGGCTTGCAATTAGGTCTATCAGACTCCAGAATCCACATTCTTTCTCACTGTATCTTCATGGCCTGTCTTCCCTAATCTCCATTCAATAAACATTTATTAAACAACTACTATATGCCTGCAAGTCACCTGGGACTCCACAATATGTAAACTAATTGAAGATGATTATTAAAGTACCACTCTAGAATCCCTCAACCCAAAGAGTTAAAGCATATACTTTTTTTTAAAGATTTCTAAGATCATTCATAGTTTCATTCAACAAATGTTTCAATGAGCATTTGTTATGTGAGAAGCACCATATCAGATGCTAAACAGATAAAAAGATGAATAAGACATGATCCTTCCCTCAAGCCCCCAACAGAATACATAGACCATATACATAATTCAGCATTGAAGAGTATTTTTACGTCTATATTTTTAACAAAAATATTTACAAATAATTCTGCTACCGGCTATCATTTCATTTAAAAAATTCTAAAAGTTACAAATCACTATTTAATTTTTATAAGACAACATTTCTCCTACCACCAAAATGCTAATGTACCTTAGTAATTTATACAGTCAAAAATATGAAAGGTGACAGAATTTACGATTAGCTTACATTTTCTATGACAAATGTCCACTCTTTATCTTCAAATTCCTCTGCATGAGGATCCTGTAACAAAAGTAAAATATAAAGTTGAAATACATTTCTTAATTCAGTCAATCCAGTTAAAAAAATACAAACAGCCTTGCTCCTAGCTTTTTCCAACTTTTTAAAAAAGGAGAGGCAGAATGGCCTACTCTTAAGAAACTTCCATAACTTATCTAAATTTAAATCATTATTTTTTACTAAGAAATTCTCTATTTTACTTATGTTAATGCATATCATCATCTTCTATCATTGCATCTAAAACAATACAAAAAGAAACTGAGGGACAAATATATGATATCACTTATATGTGGAATCTAAAAAATTGGTACAAATGAACTTATTTACAAAACAGAAATAGAGTCAGAGATGTAGAAGACAAACTTATGGTTATAAAGGGGGAAGGGGGGGTGGGAGGGATACAATGGGAGATTGGAATTGACATATACACACTATATATAAAATAGATAATTAATAAGAAACTACTGTATAGCACAGGAAACTCGACTCAATACTCTGTAATGAACTACAGGGGAACAGAATCTAAAAATGAGTGGATAGAACCAACAGGAGGATGGCGGAAGAGTTAAGACACGGAGATCACCTTCCTCCCCACAGATACATCAGGAATACATCTACACGTGGAACAACTCCTACAGAACACCTACTGAATGCTGGCAGAAGACCTCAGACCTCCCAAAACGCAAGAAACTCCCCACGTACCTGGGTAGGGCAAAAGAAAAAAAAGAAAAAACAGAGACAAAAGAATAGGAACGGGACCTGCACCAGTGGGAGGGAGCTGTGAAGGAGGAAAAGTTTCCACACACTAGGAAGCCCCTTTGCGGGCGGAGACTGCGGGTGGCGGAGGGGGTAAGCTTCGAACATAGAGCCACGGAGGAGAGCACAACAGGGGTGCGGAGGGCAAAGCAGAGAGATTCCCGCACAGAGGATCGGGGCTTACTGGCACTCATCAGCCCGAGAGGCTTGTCTGCTCACCCGCCGGGGCGGGCGGGGCTGAGAGCTGAGGCTCCGGCTTCAGTCAGAGCGCAGGGAGAGGACTGGGGTTGGCGGTATGTACACAGCCTGCAGGGGGTTAGTGCACCCCTGCAGGGGGTTAGTGCACCATGGCTAGCCAGGAGGGAGTCCGGGGAAAAGTCTGGACCTGCCGAAGAGGCAAGAGACTTCTTCTTCCCTCTTTGTTTCCTGGTGCGCGAGGAGAGGGGATTAAGAGCGCAGCTTAAAGGAGCTCCAGAGCCAGGCGCGAGCCGCGGCTAACAGCGCGGACCCCAGAGATGGGCAAGAGATGCTAACACTGCTGCTGCCGCCGCCAAGAAGCCTGTGTGCGAGCACAGGTCACTCTCCACACCTCCCTTCCGGGGAGCCTATGCAGCCCGCCATGCCAGGGTCCCGGGATCCAGGGACAACTTCCCCGGGAGAACGCACGGCGTGCCTCAGGCTGATGCAATGTCACGCCAGCCTCTGCCACCGCAGGCTCACCCTGTACTCCGTACCCCTCCCTCCCTCCGGCCTAAGGGAGCCAGAGACACCGAAATCAATGGCTCCTTTAACCCCGTCCTGTCTGAGCGAATAACAGACGCCCTCCAGCGACCTACACGCAGAGGCGGGGCCAAATCCAAAGCTGAGCAGCTGTGCAAACAAAGAAAAGAAAGGGAAATCTCTCCCAGCAGCCTCAGGAGCAGCGGATTAAATCTCCACAATCAACTTGATGCACCCTGCACCTGCAGAATACCTGAATAGACAACGAATCATCCCAAATTGAGGAGGAGGACTTTGAGAGCAAGATTTATTATTTTTTCCCCTTTTCCTCTTTTTGTTAGTGTGTATGTGTATGGTTCTGTGTGAGATTCTGTGTGTATAGCTTTGCTTTCACCATTTGTCCTAGGGTTCTATCCGTCCGTTATTTTTTTTACTTTTTAAAAAAAATTTTTTCTTAGTAATTATTTTTTTAATAACTTTATTTTATCTTACTTTATTTTCTTTCATCCTCTTTCTTTCCTTCTTTCTACTTTTTCTACCTTTTATTCTGAGCCGTGGGGATGAAAGGCTCCTGGTGCTGCAGCAAGGAGTCAGTGCTGTGCCACTGAGGTGGGAGAAACAACTTCAGGACGCTAGTCCACAAGAGACCTCCCAGGTCCACGTGCTATCACACGGCAAAAATCTCCCAGAGATCTCCATCTCAACACCAACACCCAGCTTCTCTCAACAACCAGCAAGCTACAGTGCTGGACACCCTATGCCAAACAACTAGCAAGACAGGAACACAACCCCACCCATTAGCAGAGAGGCTGCCTAAAATCATAATAAGTCCACAGACACCCCAAAACACACCACCAGACGTGGACCTACCCACCAGAAAGGCAAGATCCAGCCTCATCCACCAGAACACAGGCACTAGTCCCCTCCACCAGCAAGCCTACACAAACCACTGAACCAACTTTAGTCACTGGGGACAGACACCAAAACCAATGGGAACTACGAGCCTGCAGCCTGCAAAAAGGAGACCCCAAACACAGTAAGATAAGCAAAATGAGAAGACAGAAAAACACACAGCAGATGAAGGAGCAAGATAAAAACCCACCAGACCTAACAAATGAAGAGGAAATAGGCAGTCTACCTGAAAAAGAATTCAGAATAATGATAGTAAAAATGATCCAAAATCTTGGAAATAGAATAGAGAAAATGCAAGAAACATTTAACAAGGACCTAGAAGAACTAAAGATGAAACAAGCAATGATGAACAACACAATAAATGAAATTAAAAATACTCTAGAAGGGATCAATAGCAGAATAACTGAGGCAGAAGAACGGATAAGTGACCTGGAAGATAAAATACTGGAAATAACTACTGCAGAGCAGAATAAAGAAAAAAGAATGAAAAGAACTGAGGACAGTCTCAGAGACCTCTGGGACAACATTACACGCACCAACATTCAAATTATAGGGGTTCCAGAAGAAGAAGAGAAAAAGAAAAGGACGGAGAAAATATTTGAAGAGATTATAGTTGAAAACTTCCCTAATATGGGAAAGGAAATAGTTACTCAAGTCCAGGAAGCACAGAGAGTCCCATACAGGATAAATCCAAGGAGAAACACGCCAAGACACATATTAATCAAACTGTCAAAAATTAAATACAAAGAAAACGTATTAAAAGCAGCAAGGGAAAAACAACAAATAACACACAAGGGACTCCCCATAAGGTTAACTGCTGATCTTTCAGCAGAAACTCTGCAAGCCAGAAGGGACTGGCAGGACATATTTAAAGTGATGAAGGAGAAAAACCTACAAACAAGATTACTCTACCCAGCAAGGATCTCATTCAGACTTGATGGAGAAATTAAAACCTTTACAGACAAGCAAAAGCTGAGAGAGTTCAGCACCACCAAACCAGCTTTACAACAAATGCTAAAGGATCTCCTCTAGGCAAGAAACACAAGAGAAGGAAAAGACCTATAATAACAAACCCAAAACAATTAAGAAAATGGGAATAGGAACATACATATCGATAATTACCTTAAATGTAAATGGATTAAATGCTCCCACCAAAAGACATAGACTGATGAATGGATACAAAAACAAGACCCATAAATATGCTGTCTACAAGAGACCCACTTCAGACCTAGAGACACATACAGACTGAAAGTGAGGGGATGGAAAAAGATATTCCATGCAAATGGAAACCAAAAGAAAGCTGGAGTAGCAATTCTCATATCAGACAAAATAGACTTTAAAATAAAGCCTATGAGAAGAGACAAAGAAGGACACTACATAATGATCAACGGATCGACCCAAGAAGAAGATATAACAATTGTAAATATTTATGCACCCAACATAGGAGCACCTCAATACATAAGGCAAATACTAACAGCCATAAAAGGGGAAACTGACAGTAACACATTCATAATAGGGACTTTAACACCCCACTTTCACCAATGGACAGATCATCCAAAGTGAAAATAAATAAGGAAACACAAGCTTTAAATGATACATTAAACAAGATGGACTTAATTGATATTTATAGGACATTCCATCCAAAAACAACAGAACACACATTTTTCTCAAGTGCTCATGGAATATTCTCCAGGATAGATCATATCTTGGGTCACAAAACAAGCCTTGGTAAATTTAAGAAAATTGAAATTGTATCAAGTATCTTTTCCGACCACAACGCTATGAGACTAGATATCAATTACAGGAAAAGATCTGTAAAAAATACAAACACATGGAGGCTAAACAATACACTACTTAATAACGAAGTGATCACTGAAGAAATCAAAGAGGAAATCAAAAAATACCTAGAAACAAGTGACAATGGAGACACGACGACCCAAAACCTATGGGATGCAGCAAAAGCAGTTCTAAGAGGGAAGTTTATAGCAATACAATCCTACCTTAAGAAACAGGAAGCATCTCGAATAAACAACCTAACCTTGCACCTAAAGCAATTAGAGAAAAAAGAACAAAAAACCCCCAAAGTTAGCAGAAGGAAAGAAATCATAAAGATCAGATCAGAAATAAATGAAAAAGAAATGAAGGAAACGATACCAAGGATCAATAAAACTAAAAGCTGGCTCTTTGAGAAGATAAGCAAAATTGATAAACCATTAGCCAGACTGATCAAGAAAAAGAGGGAGAAGACTCAAATCAATAGAATTAGAGGATAAGTAACAACTGACACTGCAGAAATACAAAAGATCATGAGAGATTACTACAAGCAACTCTATGCCAATAAAATGGAAACCTGGAAGAAATGGACAAATTCTTAGAAATGCACAACCTGCCAAGACTGAATCAGGAAGAAACAGAAAATATGAACAGACCAATCACAAGCACTGAAATTGAAACTGTGATGAAAAATCTTCCAACAAACAAAAGCCCAGGACCAGATGGCTTCACAGGCGAATTCTGTCAAACATTTAGAGAAGAGCTAACACCTATCCTGCTCAAACTCTTGCAAAATATAGCAGAGGGAAGAACACGCCCAAACTCATTCTAGGAGGCCACCA